GTGCTCTCATGATATGAATGGTTTTAAATTGTAATACCGTTCAAGATAATTTTTGGAGCTTTACAGCATCCCCACAATAATAACCAAAATGGATACATCATTGAGTGCCAAGTAGAGAGAGCATAATCAATCAAACTCGTCAATCAAAGGAACCCATACCCAATTAATCAAAATAATTAACACAGAGATTTCAAAAGGTAAAGCTGTGATAGAGGAGAGAGAAATGCAAGACCTTGGTTGTCAAAAGATGTTTTTGAAACTGCATCAAACAGCCGATGTAATTCAGCTACAATTAAACAACTGATGTAATTCAACTACAATTAAGATTAATTAATTGTTTATTTATTTTTTATATAGTGCCTAAAGGCACAGTGTAACAAAAAAATTGATAATTTCAAGAGATAAAACAACCGATGTAAATATCCATCCACTTTAAACAACTGTACCTGAAGTTTTTTGTAAGTTATAATCGTGTTTATAAGTTACAACTGTGCCGAAATTTTCCCAAAAATTTTTCCTAACAGCACGCAAATCTCAAATTGCAACATCAATTTTCAATCACATTGATCTCCACATCAGGCAAGTCGCGGGTTATAGATCAATTGCAATCTATAAAATAATAACCAATTTCATTTTGGTTATTATTGTGGGGATGCAATCATGTAATTCAACCAATGTAAAAGGAATCCCTTTTATATTCTAACATCGCGGGTCATCCCTTTTATATTTTATAGATTTCCCTAACATCACGCAACTTGAGTCAGGGTTGAAGATATCCTAAATATTATTGCATTATATTGGTCACTAAATATTGAATTTGTATGATTTGTGTTTGTATATGAATTTGATCTTGTACATTTTAAATATTAAGTATATTTTATTTAATCTATCTCTTGATATCTGAGTGCACAATAACTTGAATTTAATCTTGTATATTTTACATGTTAAGCATATTTTCTTTGTTAAATTAGATTTTTTGCAAGTTAGCTTTTTCTTTTATTGATTATAGAAAAAACAAAATTGACTATTGAATTTGTATGATTCGTGTTTGTAGTATTGCTTGAATGAAAAAGAGAGATGCAGAGGAATATTTTTGTAACATATACTATCTATCTAATAGTTATTACATAATTTTCTTTTAGAGAGAGATACCGAGGAATATTTGCGTAATATACTATCTCGTTCTGTGATATATATTATCTATCTACAGAGATATGTAGTATTTGTTTGAATCAATCACTATCTAATATTTTCGTGAGATACAAAAAGAGATACAAAGGAAAATATTGTGAAAAATTAATATTTTTTGCTTGAATTGAGCGTGAGAGAGAGAGAGAGAGATTTGCTTGATTAAAAGAAAAAATTTGGGAGAATTAAATTTTAGAATATCAATTTTAAAAATTATAAATTTTGAGCAATAAAAATATTTCAAAAGAGTTAATGTGGTACGCAAATCAAACGATATGAGACGTCAATAGTTCAAGACTGGTTGGGATAACATCATTCGTTAGATGATACTTTTTTTTGTAACGAAACGATTTAAACTACTCTTTGTCTCCAAACAAATTCGTTCTACTTTATTACATAGATATTACACGTATATCCCTAAATATAACACTCCTGAAATTTATAAGCAAATAATACTTAAACCTCTTCTAGTTTAAAATATTATATTTAAATAAAAAATATTCTAATGAAAGATAAAATATTAAATATTTTAAATTTTAAAACTAAAATTTATGTTCTATTGTTAGGGGTGTCCATGGGCCTGGTTATCTACGGGTCTTGTTATCCAGCCCTAAAAAAATAGACCCGAAACTAGATAGACCCGATAGTTGGTCCGCCCGAGCTTAAGCCCAAGCCCAATATCCTTAAAAAGAGGGTTTGGGTTTGCCCCCAAACCCATTATCCAGCCCAAGAGCTCGCCCCGTCAACCCCAACCCACCCACCATTCCTTTGAAAAAAAGTTATATTTTTAGACTATTAAATTTTAAANTAGATTTCCCTAACATCACGCAACTTGAGTCAGGGTTGAAGATATCCTAAATATTATTGCATTATATTGGTCACTAAATATTGAATTTGTATGATTTGTGTTTGTATATGAATTTGATCTTGTACATTTTAAATATTAAGTATATTTTATTTAATCTATCTCTTGATATCTGAGTTGCACAATAACTTGAATTTAATCTTGTATATTTTACATGTTAAGCATATTTTCTTTGTTAAATTAGATTTTTTGCAAGTTAGCTTTTTTTTTTTATTGATTATAGAAAAAACAAAATTGACTATTGAATTTGTATGATTCGCGTTTGTAGTATTGCTTGAATGAAAAAGAGAGATGCAGAGGAATATTTTTGTAACATATACTATCTATCTAATAGTTATTACATAATTTTCTTTTAGAGAGAGATACCGAGGAATATTTGCGTAATATACTATCTCGTTCTGTGATATATATTATCTATCTACAGAGATATGTAGTATTTGTTTGAATCAATCACTATCTAATATTTTCGTGAGATACAAAAAGAGATACAAAGGAAAATATTGTGAAAAATTAATATTTTTTGCTTGAATTGAGCGTGAGAGAGAGAGAGAGAGAGATTTGCTTGATTAAAAGAAAAAATTTGGGAGAATTAAATTTTAGAATATCAATTTTAAAAATTATAAATTTTGAGCAATAAAAATATTTCAAAAGAGTTAATGTGGTACGCAAATCAAACGATATGAGACGTCAATAGTTCAAGACAGGTTGGGATAACATCATTCGTTAGATGATACTTTTTTTGGTAACGAAACGATTTAAACTACTCTTTGTCTCCAAGCAAATTCGTTCTACTTTATTATATAGATATTACACGTATATCCCTAAATATAACACTCCTGAAATTTATAAGCAAATAATACTTAAACCCCTTCTAGTTTAAAATATTATATTTAAATAAAAAATATTCCAATGAAAGATAAAATATTAAATATTTTAAATTTTAAAACTAAAATTTATGTTCTATTGTTAGGGGTGTCCATGGGCCGGGTTATCTACGGGTCTTGTTATCCAACCCTAAAAAAATAGACCCGAAACTAGATAGACCCGATAGTTGGTCCGCCCGAGCCTAAGCCCAAGCCCAATATCCTTAAAAAGAGGGTTTGGGTTTGCCCCCAAACCCATTATCCAGCCCAAGAGCTCGCCCCGTCAACCCCAACCCACCCACCATTCCTTTGAAAAAAAGTTATATTTTTAGACTATTAAATTTTAAACTTTGAAATAAGTCTCTCAATGTCAGAATTTGAAGTTTTAAAAATTTAGATACTATAAATAATGTATTATTTTATTTTCCATGTATTAAGCGTACAAGTTTTAAAGGGTAGAGTAATGCAAATGATAGATAAGTTAGTAGATGTCATCCTAGTTGAAATATATTCATTTTATTAGATGTAGTTCATCCCCTAATTAAAAATAAAATTATTCATTATTTTATTTTTATCCATTTTAACTCTATTTTTGATTTAAAAATATAATTTATATAAATATTAAGTTACAAAAATATTTATTATTTTTAAATGAAGTTGTATATAAAAAAAGCCCGTGAGTAGGCCCGCCCAACAAGCCAACCCACAGGCCCGCCCAATAGGCTTGCGGGTTGGGTTGCAGGTAGTCTACCCTTATCCGAAGCCAGATCTTGCACACCCGATAATTTATTTAGATAAGGGCTTGAACCTACATTACCCAGACTCGACCCGAAAAAATTTGTGGGCCTAGCCCGGCCCGGCCAATGGACACCCCTATCTATTGTATCATTTATTGAAATAAAATCAAAAATAAAAAGTCAATTTTTTCTTAAAAATTTTTAATTAGTATACGATTATACTATCTATTGAAATAAAACTATAAAGTCAAACAAGAGGTCTAAGTCATTCATAATAGAACATGAATTTTACAATCAAAATTCATGTTCTATTATATCATTTATTGAAATAAAATCAAAAATAATTTTTTTTTATTTAAAAAAAATTATAATTAGTATGCAATTATATTATCTACTAGAATAAAAGTAAAAAATCAAACAAGGGATCAAACTGTAATGGATACAATATATTCTAGCTTTAATTAGGGTAATTTGGTAGTTTAAACGACCAAATTAAATTCTAATAGATAGTATAATTGTATAATAATTATGATTTTTTAAGAAAAAAATTAAATTTTTATTTTTAATTTTATTTCAATAATGTTATAATAGAACATGAATTTTAGTTGTAAAATTTAAAATAGTTGATATTCTATGTTTGATTGGAATATTTTTAGTGTAAGTATAATATTTTAAATTTTAGGGGTCTAAATATTATACTCTTATAAATTTTAACGAGTTTAGATGTAATTTACTAACGGATATAGACGGCAGGAGGCTGAATGTAATTCTTTTTTTTTTGTTTTGTTTTTTTATCAAGTTTATCTGATGTGAATTCAAACATCCGCTAGATATTAATGAAAAAAGAGAAGTCTATACAAATGCGTTCTGTTTTTGGTTTAAAAATGCGAACACAATCCCAAGATTTAAATCGAAACCTGAGAGTGAAATACCTTCATATTTTTTTTTACATTAAGTCCCATTTAGACCCGTTTCCAGCTATTATTCCCTTCTCAAGGGCAGCTTCTTACGCCTCATCCGCCATTGGAAGCACCACTCGCCACTTCCAGTCTGACTTGTATGTGGTAATCATGCTGCCAAGTTTCATTAGTTACATATAGCTTCCTTGTTCGTAGACAATATGGGTACAAATTGTAATGAAGTTATGCATTATGCTTTCTGATTGGTGTTATGATATTTACATTCAGAAGGCACTGATCATACTAAAGCATGGCATCTCTTAAATTGGTATACAACTTGCGAGAATGTTATGCTTTGCAATGATATTGTTGTGATTGGACCTTAGATTGCTTTGAGAAGAAAACAAGATCATTTTTCACAGAATGAGATTTTGATTAGTACAATTGATCATGAAAGTTCTGCAACAGTGAGAGTGAAGCACCAAATGCATTTAAAAAAAAAAAAGTGCTAGTACTAAGATGATTTCACCCAGTCAAGGAGGATGGGGAGCAGCTGATTTACAAATGATTTTGCTGTCCTTATTTCTACTTAATGTGACAACTTTGATCTAAAAAAATAGAGCAACAGTTTTGATCCTATTTCATGCTGGAATCTTGGATGAGAGAACTGTTTTCAGGGTGTTTGCTACCTTTCTTAGTTAGCTTCAGAAGGGAAGACAACACTTGTATCCAGATCTGGTTGGCCCTTCGGGTTTGAACAGATGCAAGACCAAGGCCTGTGAAAGCGTTGAACGTATCTCATGCTATAATCTCCAGTGAGAGAAGTGTTGTCACGGTGTTGATACCACCTTACTTTGCTTCAGAAGGTAGGACAACACCACGTCCATGTCTGGTCGGTCTTCAGGACTTGGGCAGGTGCAGGACAAGCCTAATTTGAGGAGTGCTTCTACCACTTCCTGCTTCTTGGAGATTTTTGAAGTTAGATGAGGATCCACCACTTTGAGTAGCCCATTAATTCCATTAGCAAGGGCCTTCTGCACTAGTTGAGGCAAAGTAATTGGCAACCCATCCTCTTCTGTGAGTCCTGTTGGCCTTCGTTTTGTGAGGAACTCCATCACTATTATGCCGAAGCTGAACACGTCTACTTTCGTCGTAACTTTCCTCATATATGCAAACTCTAATAAAAAGTGCAAAACAAATACCACTAGGTTAGTGAGATCTAACAGCAAAACACTGGTACTCAGAAGATTGGAGGCAAAGTCGAAGCAATCTGGAAATGCAAGATGATTTGATATCCTGGTGCGTTTTTATTGCAAATGGTGTCTGACTTGTGGTCTTCATTTAGAAATGAAAAGCCATTTGAAATGCCAGTATAGATTTAATAACTAAGATATTTCAACCCGCTGACTCTGCAAATTTGTTCCTATCAATTCCAGGAGTGCAAGCGAGGACTCACCAAATTACGGCAATGAGACCGGATATTGGCAATGTAAGTGAACTATAATATATTGCCTATTGAATTGTTATTGTTGGGACTGTCTTTCTCATTTGGATGATTAGTGAAGGCAAGGAAATGACATTGGCAGGAGACGAATATGGAGATAACATCAAAATCGTTAAGCAATGGTGAAAACGTTACCTGGTGCCAAGTATCCAATAGTGCCTTCAAATGCAGATGATGAGGAAAGGCTGCTTTCGTCCTGCAGATGAATACCAAGCATTCGAGCTGTCCCAAAATCGCTCACATGGGCCTCCCATTCTCCATCCAGAAGAATGTTAGAGGGCTTCAGGTCACAGTGAACTATGGGGATACCAAAACCTGAATGCAAGTAAACCAGCCCAGACGCAATAGAAACTAGAACATCAATTCTTTCAGATAATCCCCACGTTGATGGTTCCATATCCGACTCATGTATGATGCTTTCCAAGTTCCCATTTTCCATGTATTCTAGAACTAAAACCTTAAGCTTTCCACTCTCCCAAGCATAGCCAAGAACCTTTACCAAATTCCTGTGCCTCAAACGGTTCAGGGTCTTGACTTCTCTGTTGAAGCACTTATCAGACTCTTCCGAAAATTGGTGTATATTCAATTTCTTTACAGCTATCAGCGTCCCATCTTCCAGTCTACCCTTATACACAGTACTCATACTGCTGGCACCAATAATGTTATCTTCACTGAAAAAATCAGTTGCAATTTCCAAATCCTTTTGATTGAACCTCTTTAGAGCCAAGGCAGAAGTGGATTCTAGTTCTGAATTCTCAACTTTCTCTGTTTCCTGCTTTTTGGTGCGCCGTCTGAGTATTGAAATTACCAACACTAGAATTAGCAGTGCGGAAATAGATAATGCTGCAAGAATCAAAACAGCCTTCTTGGAGATCCTATGCGATTGGCTCTTGCCCTTGCATGGCCTAAGGAATTTGGATCCGCAGAGAGATGGGTTTCCCATCAAACTTACTGCACTTGTGTTTCTGAATATTCCAGTCTCAGGAACATGACCTTCAAGCTGATTGAAAGAGAGGTTGAGATGAGTCAAGGTAGACATGTTGGCAAATATCTTGGGGATCATACCCGTGAACTTGTTTTGAGAAAGATCGAGGGATCTAAGATGTGTCAGATTTGCCAAAGTTTCAGGAATTCCACCATCTAACTGATTCCTTGACAGGTTCAAGCTTGTTAGCACATCGAGTTTAGTAAACCTTTCTGCAGGCATTGAACCAGAAAGTTTATTTCCTGACAAATCAAGAGTAAACAAGTTTCTGCAACCTTCAAGTGCTCTAGGAATGCTCCCTGATAGGTTATTGTTTGAGATGTCAATGGCCTGTACCATTTCTAATGTGCCAAGCTCATCTGGAATTGTTCCATCCAAATAATTGTATGAAAGGTTCAAATATATCTGCATATTTCTCGTCCCTGCAATGACTGACACTGGAATAGATCCTCTGAGATGGTTGTGCGACAAATCTAAGGTTGTCAGTCGGTTAAGATGCGCCATGCTTTTTGGAATTGATCCATTAAGCTTGTTCCAACTGAGGTCCAAGTATGAAAGTAACTCAAGTTCTGAAATGGCATCTGGAATGGGACCATAGAACCTATTGTGCTGCAACTCAAGATCGGTAAGCTGTTTCAGCTCAAAAATTTTCTCTGGAATTGCACCTTCGAGCTCATTGTGATGCAGTTGAAGGCCTTGGAGCCGTGTGAGCTTGGAGAGTTGAGGAGGAAATAGGCCTGAAAATCTATTTGTGTCGAGCAATAATGTCATCAATTGATTCAGGTTGCCAATGTCTCGTGGGATTGGCCCGACAAATGAATTTGAAAAGGCTCGCAAAATTTGAATATTGGCAAGTCGGCCAATACTTGGTTTAAGGGGTCCACTGAAATTGTTCTTGCTCAAATCTAGCAATTTAAGATTTGAACAATTGAAGAGGTCTTCAGGAATGTTCCCTGACATCTTATTTGCCCCTACAGATAGAAATGTCAGATTTGACAATCGCCCCAGGCCCTCAGGGATTTTTCCAACCAGTCTATTATAAGCCAGGCTAATAACTAGAAGATGCGTACAGTTGGTGATACTGGGTGGAATAGATCCCTCAAGAAGGTTATTGCTCAGGGTTAAGTTCTTCAAATTATACAATAATCCGATATTTGAAGGAAGTGAACCGGAGAGGAAATTGAAGCTGATAGTCAAGTATGTCAAATTGGCCAAGTCTGTTATTGATGAAGGGATCTCCCCAGTGAACCTATTTGAATGGAGGGTCAGCACTTCTAATGATATCAAAGATCCAATCCTAGAAGGTATTGTACCAGTAAGTTCATTTTCCGATAGTCCCAAGTGAGTTAATGATTTTAACCGGAACAAGGATAGAGGGATTGTAGAGTTCAACTTATTTTTGTACAAGCGCAAAATTTGTAAGTCAACCAAATTTCCGAGCTCAGGAGGAATGCCTCCGGTGAAGTGATTGATATATATGTTTAGAGCGTTCAGCTTCCTACAACGACCAAGTTCAGCCGGGATTTTCCCAGTAAGAGAATTACCATACAACTGAAGAACTTCTAAGTTGGACAGATTCCCAATCTCCGGAGGTATGACTCCAGAAAGCCGGTTTTCGCTCAGGTCAAGTGCTTGAATAGCTTTCAGCCTACCAATGGAAGTAGGTATAGAACCTACCAAACTGTTATCGTAAGCTACAAAAAGTTGAAGATGAACTAAGTTACCAATGTTTGATGGGATTGTACCAGTGAGATTGTTGAAAATGAGGCCAAGTGCTAACAAGGCTGTGCAGTTACATATGCTATCAGGTATGCTTCCATTCAGAAAATTATTTCCCAAATCTATGGACTGCAGATTTCTAAGGCTTCCTAGCTCTCGTGGAATGGGCCCCAAAAGAGAATTTGTGTAAAGGGTCAGTTCAGAAAGCTGTGAGCAGAGCCCCAGCTGGGTTGGAATTTGCCCAGTGAATGAATTCAAAGTTAGATCAAGAACCTGGAGGCTGGAGAGGTTTCCAAGGAATGGAGAGATCTCTCCTTTGAGCTGTTTGTCCACCAGAGAAATTGAAATGACATTGTCTGAGGAATCACAGGCAATTCCAGACCAGTTGCAGTGGTGGTTTGTATCAGTCCAGTCTGAAAGTGCACCGATCGGGTCGTCGGTGATTGAGTTCTTGAATGCTTTCAAGGCCTGAGTTTCAACTTCCAAGCTTTCTGCTGCCAATAGAACCCTCATTAGGACAGAACATACTATGGCTATTATAAAACTAGTTTTTAGAACCCTCATTGTTTGTTCTATGGAATAGAAAATAGAAGCTGAACTGAAAGTTGAAATTGAATTGCAGTTATATACACACTTCAGTTACTGATTCTATTAAACATTCAAAGTCTCAAGAGTCTTCTCCAATCAAAAGAGTCAGAAGGGTGAACCACCCATCAAAACAAGGAAGAATATAAGCTGATTCTTTGAACTTTGACTATATAACTAATGTTAACTTTTAGCAAAAAGTCTTAACACCCACAAGAAAGAGATCATTGCAGGCCACCACTGAGAAGAGAAATAGCAATTTGCAGCTAAAATACATCCAAAACCTAGTCTCATAAGACCAAAACCTATTCTACGCACCTACCATATCAAAGCAAAACTCAGTCACATGCCCCAACCTATTCTCATGTATCACCTCAACTTGCATTCACCACAAATTTGACAAAAAGACACTGATTGAGCAATTAGCGTCAAGTTTTGTTAATCATTGTGACTTTGTTAGGTTTCAAGGAAAACCTTGAGGGAGTGAGCCGCTAATAACGACTCATTTCCACTTGCACATGGTTGTTTATTTCAATTACGCCAGTCAAAGGATGGAGTTTGGATCGAATTCTAACTAAACCGAATTTGAATTCGATTTTAAAGGTTCGATCTAATAATTCGACAAGATTTTTTTATTTGTTTTAAAATTTGTGATTCATATATGAATCTGTTAACGATTTGAAATTCATTCCGATCTGAATAACTTAACTAACTATATTTTGAACAAATTATACCTAAATTTCAAACTAAATTTCTTTAATATTTATATAAAATATATAAAAAATTGGGATTGGATCAAATATAGGTATATCCAAATTTGAATCTGTGAAATATAAGATATCGGATTTAAGTTTGGATTATTAGTAAAAAATATTAATCCATATTCGGCTAATCGGATTCGGATTAAAATTTGATCCATTGACAGGTCTAATTTTCCCCCCAATCTCTCCTCCAAAAAAAACAATAAAAAACGGAATTTCAATAAGAAAACTCAAATTCAATCACAATAAGATTTGTGGATTTGTTAAACGATTGTGGTGGTGTGAGAACTATTGTACGTTACAATATTAAAAATATCGTCCAAATAATCACGAGCCTATTTGTTCAAATTTGAGAACAATCATTTTATATAAATAATTTTAAATTTAAGATCTTTGGAATCTACCACTATTAGCCCACTGAAATAACTTGGATCAAATGGACTAGCTTTTTAACTATGGCTGTCAACGGATTGGATCTGCATCGGTCTAGATCCGAATCTAATAAGAAATTCGTGTTTCAATTCTAATCTATTTGCGTTATAAATTTTAAAATCTTAATTCATATAAGCATTTGTTAATAATTGGATATCTGATCTGATTATCCGATCCAATCTAAAAATTTGAAGCTCAGCAAAATTTTATAAAAAAAATAATAATTTTACCAAATTTAAGGTAACTTTCGACCTAATTTAATTAATAAATCATTCTATTTAATTTCATGTCAATCTCATTAATAATCTAACTTAGCATGGATGTATATATAATAGTTTTCATTTTTTTTCTTTGATATGAAATGATAGAACTTTTGTTAATTAAATGCTTGAAATATCATTTTGAAGGGGAGGTAACAAGACACTTGGTGCTTTCTCCCTCCAAACATCCATTGATTAGTCTACTTGAAGCAGCAGCAAACTCCCCATTCACATCCCTAATGACAACACCAATGCCGCCTGAGTTCATTGAAGGAAACATAGCACCATCAAAGTTTACTTTAAGGAAACCAGAAGGAGGAGACAACCATGATAATTTCTATTGAATTTTCTAAAAAAATTGTTTTAATTAAAGCATTACTANGACAACCATGATAATTTCCATTGAATTTTCTAAAAAAATTGTTTTAATTAAAGCATTACTAATGGTTCTAAAAATTAGGTCTGATAAAAAAAAATCAAAATGATAAAAAATCAGATGATAAACAAAAGTAGTCAATGATTAGCAAAATTAATGTTTTATTACATGTTGGAGTTAATTCTANGGAGGAGACAACCATGATAATTTCTATTGAATTTTCTAAAAAAATTGTTTTAATTAAAGCATTACTAATGGGTCTAAAAATTAGGTCTGATAAAAAAAAAATCAAAATGATAAAAAATCAGATGATAAACAAAGTAGTCAATGATTAGCAAAATTAATGTTTTATTACATGTTGGAGTTAATTCTAAATCAAAACATTCAAATTTAGAATTAGCAGAAATCCAGCAATTCCAAAATTCGTTACTAAATATTCAAAAATTTAATGAAATTAATAAAATTAGATTAAAATCCAAATTGATGAATGACATCTTGGTTGACGTAATTCTGCAACTTGTATTGGTGGGAGATACGTCATGACTGGTGTCTTCTTTAATTATGGTCGAAAATGCTGATTAATTGTTTCTTCTTTTTGCCCTAGTTAATTTGATTAATGTTTCATTACATCATACATTTTCAAATCCAAATCTTTTAAATTTTGAAATGCACTAAGATGAAATTTCATGTCTTCATTNCTGGCGTCTTCTTTAATTATGGTCGAGAATGCTGATTAATTGTTTCTTCTTTTTGCCCTAGTTAATTTGATTAATGTTTCATTACATCAAACATTTTCAAATCCAAATCTTTTAAATTTTGAAATGCACTAAGATGAAATTTCATGTCTTCATTGTCATTAAAATCCATTGGATCTTGAGAATCNCGTCATGACTGGTGTCTTCTTTAATTATGGTCGAAAATGCTGATTAATTGTTTCTTCTTTTTGCCCTAGTTAATTTGATTAATGTTTCATTACATCATACATTTTCAAATCCAAATCTTTTAAATTTTGAAATGCACTAAGATGAAATTTCATGTCTTCATTGTCATTAAAATCCATTGGATCTTGAGAATCATTATGATCTTCTTTGATTTTCTTTCTTTTAGATGAGGTGTAAGATTGAGGTCATGCTGATCCCGAAATCTAAGGGAATTTGAGGCTTATTATCCCCCTTAAAAAATTAACATATATATATATATACAATCTTGATTGGAGTAGAAACTTCGATTGGAAACTCTGCTTTGACTTGGCCAACATTGGCCCATCACCAAACTATTCCAAAATTCTCTCTTATCTCTTGTTGTATCCAGTCTTCATATGATGTATAAGAAGATCTTCTTTTAGTAAATTATTTGTAAGTTAATTTTAGTTGATCTGTAATTTGAATTCTAGTTTTTGAGTAAATTCATTAATCTTCCATTCAATGTTACATTTTATGTCTTCCGCTTTCATGCTGATATTGAATTTTTGTCGAATTGAATTTATATGTATTCAAATTCAAATTCGTTAATATAAATAGATTAAAATATTAATTTATATCCGGTTAAATAGACTCGAATTCGGATTAAAATTCGTTTAATTGAAAAGTCTAATTATAACCCTAAGCAATGATAATGAGACTTGAACCGTGACATTCGCTATTTAGTTGTTCCACTCTTAGTACAACGCCAAACATCTCCTTGTCTTTACGATCTAGATTTATTTCGACATGTTTGTCTCCAGTCCTCTTAGTGGTTCACACCACAATACACCCTTCCCACTTCAATTAACTAAAAAGTAGTGTGAAATTGTAGATAACTAGATATGTACTCAGTCAGTCTGTGTGCCAGAACGCGGTTTGACCAAAACTGTCAACCCATCCCATATCCTATCCTAACATAAAAGGAAAATGCTAGTTGGCATACACCTTTTTCAGTTGTGTTTGGCGCTAAAATGGCTAGTGGAGAGAAAGAGACACAGATATGATCATCCAGTCCTCCTTTTGTTATTGAATGGAGGGGTCCACTCCAACTATCCACCGCCATGTCAATGCTTGTAAACATTTTCGATTGGGCTTCAAATTCCTAACACTTCAAAATGGTATAAAATGAATATTTAGAGGCAATTTAGTAGTTGAGTTTTTCTTTTGATAATCAAAGATTTCAGATTCAATATTTTTTATACGCTTTAAGGGTTAGTTATTTTTTTTTTAAAGGTACATGTTTTAAAGGCGTTCGAGTTACGATGGTCAATATCTAAATTTGAAAGAATAATCAGCGTGAGTTTAGACGACTTATAGCAAAAAAAATTGATATTAATTTTTTTTAATGAATATTTTAATAATTTTTAATTTTTTTCTCTCAATCGATAAAAATAAAATAAAATATTTATATTTATGTAGATCATATTTAATTATTAAATTCATTGAATATAAAGGCCAAAAACCAGTCGTACTGTTTGCCAAAATGAGCCAATAAAGAGAGAGAGAAGACAGTTGGACACAGAGAGCGGGGGGGGAGGGG